TAAACCGTGATGACAACGAATATAAGATCGAAAGAGTAAATTTTTTTTAAACGATTCTATAAAAATCAACGAATAGACTGTTTCTTTCTTAATCAGAGGTTTCGGGCTCAAATTTTGGATGTGAAGAAAATCCTTAATAATGAGAGTTTTTTTGTCGAATGGGGACTTATGCCATACGAATATGAAATAGTCACTCTCTATTGCGGTTAATGGACACTAATGGTCCGTTTGGCTATGCGATATGGAATCATGATATGATATTATAATATGGAATCATGAGATAAAGTTGAAGTTTTGTTTGGACATGCGATATGAAATTTTTGTATTGTATATTTTCTCATAAACATTATAAGAATATCATAAGTTGTGAAACTATTAAAATAGCCCCAATTGATTATTCAATCTTATCAAATAAACAAAAATTTATAAAATCGCATGATAAATTATTGCAAAGTTATTTGTTCTCTACTTATAATTAAATGTTTCATTTAACTTCAATTGATCAAACTTTAATTCAATAAAAAAAATGAACATAAATTGTAGTGTACTAATTTTTAATATAATCCTCTCACATAGTACGGACAATCTTCTCACGTTGAACTTGCATTTCTCGATCATATGACCGAGAAGACAAATCAGCATTGTTACTTTGAGTCATTTGTTGGTCAATATCATTCGAAACTATATTTTCATACTCATAGACCATAAATATTTCATCACCCCTTTGGTCTTATCGCAAATAATTATGTAAGTGTACAAGTTATGACAATTTTCATTTGTGTGTCAATATCATATGGTTCATGCCTTGTTTCACTTGTGTGTAATTGCACATTTTCAGTGCATTAAATTCGTGCTAAAATCAAACATATTAGAAGTAGTGATTATCAAACATACATAATCAATTTTGTCATTTTTCATATTAAATTGCTTTAAACATTTTCATATGTAGCCGAAAGAAAAGTTTTATTATTATGAAAACCTAAAAATGTATTACTCCCTCTGTTCTTATTTATATTCACCAAATCAATTCTTACTTTATCATTTATATTCACCAAATTGAAAGCAATATTAAATTTTATGTTGGTGAGAATAATAAATTTTAAAAGTAATGATGTGATTATTAATTTTATTTACATATGTAATAAATGTTTAGTAGATATAATGTGGGGTTATTTTAATAAAATATAAACTTGTGGGTCAATTTTTGTATGTAAAAATTCCAAATCATGATATAGAACTTCCATATCATGGTTTTTGGAGAATATGTAATTTCATCCCATGATATGAAATCATGAGATGGAATCAGCGTGAAATTGCATGTCCAAATGCTGATTTCATCTCACGATTCCATATCGTGATATGGTATCGCATGGCCAAACGCCTATTAAATCATGCTGATTCCATCTCATGATTTCATATCATGGGATGAAATTCTATATTCTCCAAAAACCATGATATGAAAATTACATATCATGATTTGAGATTTTTAAATACAAAAATTGACTCACAAGTTTACATTTTGCTAAAACAACCCACATTTATATCTACTAACCATTTATTTCACATGTAAATAAAATTTATAATCACATCATTACTTTTTAAAATTTATTATTCTCACCAACATAAAATTTATTATTACTTTAAATTTGGTGAATATAAATGATAAAGTAGAAATTGATTTGGTGAATATAAATAAGAACGGAGGGAGTAATACTTTTTTTATTTTTCATAATTAAAAAAAACGTCTCTTTCAGCTACATATGAAAATGTTTAAAGCAATTTAATATGAAAAAAGACAAAATTGGTGATGTATGTTTGATAAACACTGCTTCCAATATGTTTGATTTTTAGCACAAAATTAATGCACTGAAAATGTGTAATTGCACACAAGTGAAACAAGACATGAATCATTATGATATTGACACACAAGCGAAAATTGTCATAGTTTGTGCAGTGTTACATAATTATTTGCCAGAATACCAAATGATTGATGAAATATTTATGGTCTATGAACATGAAAATATAGGTGCGGATGATATAGACCAACAAATGACTCAAAGTAACAATGTTGGTTCGTCTTCTCGGTCATATGATCGAGAAATGCAAGTTCAACGTGAGGAGATTGTCCGTATTATGTGAAAAAATTATATTAAAGACTAATACACTATAATTTATGTTTAATTTTTTTTACTGAATTAAAATTTGATCAATTAAAGTTAGGTGAAACAATTACTTAAGTGGAGAACAAATAGCTTTATAATAATTTATTATGCGATTTTATAATTTTTTATTTTATTTCGTAAGATGGAATAAATAATTAGGGTTATTTTAATAGTTTTACAACTTATGAAATTCTTATGTTTATGAGAAAATATACAACACAAAAATTATATATCACATGTCCAAGCAAAACTTTAATTTTATCTCATGATTTCATATTATGATATCATGTCATGATTCCATATCGCATTATCAAACGGGTAGTAGCTATTTTGCCAACTCTCCCTAGTCACTCTCTATAGCATATAATAGACACTTAATAAATAAAAAATAATAAAAAGGGTGTAAAATCACATATGATTGGTCTTAAAAAGAAACAGTAAGGCCGCCGAAGTTTTTATTAAGGAAGAGATCACGTGCCGACACGCGTGTTTTTTCCTTGATCCATAAGACGACAAAAAAAGAATGATCCAAATATTATCCCATCTGTGAAGCATCCAATTCAGCATCTTACGTGTCGATCTCTTATCGTTCCCTGTCCTTAAATCACAGCCGGAAATCGTACAAATACACGAACCTTTTCGGATCTGTGGGCTCCCACGCATTTTATCGTGAGGGTCCAGCACGTGGGTGGGGGAATGCTCTAGTGCCCCGAGAGGTGAGAGGTTGACAATGAGTGGTTTTAAGTAGAAGTAATAAGGAGATGTGATTATAACATGACACAATTTCAATTTACTCAGGACATGATCTTAGTCCTTGGATAAAAAGTTATAGAAAACATGAATTAAGGTATGCGGTTAGTTAGATATCATTGTTTCACTTATTCTTTTATACGATATTAGTCATTTGTATTATATTTGTAGTTTCTTATTCTTCGAGTTTGATTATTATATTTATTTATGGGTTGATTGTTATTTTATCTTGTTATGACTATTTATAGTCATTGAAATTTTATGGGACTCGTGTTCACTTCGAGTTGAGACTATGTTTTCAATTTCAAACATAATTCTTGGAGGCTATTCAATCATAAGCACTAGTTCATGCCTATATAAAAATTATTATATTCTCTTAAAAAGACATCTCGAATATTGCGCAAATTCATAAAATATTCATAAAGAAATCAAATTCAAATCATCCTAGTTCGAGAAATACGCCACTAACGGCCCTCGGAAATATTATGAGAGATCTTATGAGGGAAATCTTGTAAGAGATTTTATGAGAGAAAAATCAAGGGAGGAACAAAATTGTACTCGCACTATTTACCAATAAAATCATGTTTTTTCAGATTTTGCTTGTGGTTAATTTATTTTCTATATGTTTAAAAATTCTTGCAAACACTATTATTTAAGATGATTTGATAAAGTGTCAATGATATTTTGTCAGGATTTTCTCTATTATTTTTGTTGTCTCTTTTTCTATACCTCTTTGATCTATTTTTTGTTTAAGTTGAGTGTCTATGGAAACTCATCTCTACCTCAAAAATAGTGATAAAATTTGCGTCTAATTTAAAGAATTTCCCTAAATATGTTATTATTATTCTACCTTCCTCATTGATTAAGTACCAGAATTATATCTATATCTAAGACTACATTAATATGGATATTACTACAAATATTAACATTAATGAAGTGACAAGTAAAGAGAACTGAGGGAGTACATTGTACTTCTGTCCTAACTTATATTTTAATATTTACATCTTAGTCCTAATGACATTAGTTTACGCTTATGAAAAAACTTAAACAAATATTTCTATTTTTAATTTATTTTTCCAAATGGTCAAACTGTTTACGCAAACAAACGTCACTTTATGTTTCAATTGACGCAATGATTTTTGCACAAGAAACATGTAAAATTAATCCCATTTTTTGAAGCACTTGACTCTAAAATATATAATTATAGTATTTACAAACTTATAGGGTATCTAGAACTATAAAATATAAATATTTTTTAAAAAGTTAAATACATATTTAAAAATTAAGTTATATTTAAATATGTATTTATAATTTATGATTGAAAAAATATTAACCTAAAAAATTGCTCAAAATCACTTTTTCAAAAAAATCAATCTAGTAATTAAATGTTGTTATAAGACTTTTTCTTAAATAAAATAGTACAACATAATTAACATAATCTCACGAATTAAGATTTAAAACAAGATACATTGTAAATAGACCTTATCATAACTATTTTGAAAATAAATACTCGATGTTAGACCATCGAGTCAAACACCCCTCCCTTTGGTCCAACACAAAAATTCTAATTTTGAAAAATCAATCCAGTAATTAAATGTTGTTATAAAACTTTTTCTTTAAGTAAAACAGTACAATATAATTAACATAATCTCGAATTAAGATTTAAAAGAAGATACATTGTATGTAGACTTTATCATAACTATCTTAAAAATAAAAATATTATTTCTAATAGACCATCGAGTCAAACACCCTTCCTTTGGTCCAACACAATAATTCTAATTTTGAAAAGGACAAAAAAATATACATTATAAGTAATTAATTGAATATAACATGCTTTATAATAAGATATCTTATTCCCCCCTGCCATAAAAGTAAATTAATTTATATATTCTACTTATATTTATTTAATAAAAAGACAATTAAAATGTTAATTGAAACTCAAAGAGTTTGACTTATTTAAAATGAAACATGGCAAGTAATTTATGATGGAGGGATTTGGCAAAATTTAGTAAGAATTAAGGGACTATAAAAATAAATAATTATTTTCCCTAATATAAAAGAAAAGTGAAGTAATTGTCTGCTAGTAGTAGCCAAAACACAAATTGCTTTCTCTTTCATCTCACAAGCGTGACTTTCACTGGAATTTTCCAACTCTACTCAGCACGGCTCTGATATTTTTGGTATTGGTCTTACTCACTCAATCTGAAACTTTTTTTTTTGTCGTTTTCTCATGCATCCGTCGAGGAATTACACCGGCGTAGCGCCGTCGGATTTGCGGTGGCAGAGGGGGAAAATGTTGCCGGTGAAGAGGGAGGTAGACCTTGAAAACTTTTCAGATGAAGAACGCTGCCAACTCGACAAGCGATCCAAGCTTTACTCTTCTCTGCAAGTAGGTTTTTCTCTCTTTCTCTTTGCTGTTCTAATTTTAAAGCGATGTTTCTCTATTTGATCCGTAGAATTTTGTGCATTTTTTTCGTTTTAACACTTTTGTCTGTGTGCATCTTGTTATCTACTAACATGTGCTCTGAATTTGACTACAAATAGAGTTTATGATGTTAGTTTGACTTACTATTGAATTGCATCAAACATTTAGGGAGTTACCAAATTAGGAAGTGCTTAGTAATAAATGAAGTAAAGGAGTATAAATAACCATTTTAGAAATGTTTGTAGGAGAATTATCAATTACCAAATTGGGAATAAGAACTTGGCTTATCAGTATTGATTCCTTGATATTGATTAAGGAGATGCCAGTGGATTTACGTCTATTGTTATCTTCTGAGGCACTTCCTTCAAACTGTTCTGAAAAACCTCTCTACCGCACGAAGGTAGGGATAAGGTCTGCGTGTACACCCTACCGGTAGGACAATACTGAGTATGTAATCGTATTATCTTCTCTGAGATCTGAATCAAGGATATTTTGCAGCAGCAACTGGGTGAAGGAGCTTGTGATTTTCCTGTTTCATCATCGTTCGTCTCGTTAGATGAACCCAGTCCGTTAGGTTTGCGGCTAAAAAAGAGCCCATCACTGGTGGATATGATCCAAATGAAGCTTGGGGGAACCTCCATGGTGGAAAGTCTTGGGAAGAAGGAGCAGAAAAGAAGCACTGCAATGATAGAAAAGCTCAAGGCCTCGAATTTTCCTGGTTCAGTTCTGAGAATTGGAACCTGGGAGGTATACACAGTTCCCTTTTTTAATGATTTGTAAATAATGTTCAGTCTGAATGTTCCACAAGTGAATTGAATATTTTTGTCTCTACAGTATAAGTCGAGATATGAAGGAGATTTGGTTGCAAAATGTTACTTTGCCAAGCATAAGCTTGTATGGGAAGTCCTTGATGGTGGTCTCAAGAATAAGATAGAGATCCAGTGGTCTGATATTATAGGGTTGAAGGCAAATTACCCAGATGATGCACCAGGAACCTTGGATATAGTGGTAAGGGGTAAAACAATTTTGTTTTTGCTATTGTCTTTATGGAGTTATTTCCTTAACTGCATTAGCAGAATAGGCTCCAGTGTTGCTCTCCTTATTAACCTTAGTTGATGAGGGTGCTATGTATCCTTGTATTGCAGCTGGCAAGGCAACCTCTTTTCTTTAGGGAGACAGATCCACAACCCAGAAAGCACACACTTTGGCAAGCAACTTCAGATTTTACTGACGGACAGGCTAGCATACACAGGTCTTACTATTACCCCTGTAGTTCTTTTCTTCCTCAAGTAATAATTATGCCATTGTTAGTTGTTAGCCAATTTTATCTTGTTTTCTTGACATCTCCGTGGGCATCTATTGTCTAGCCTTTTCCCCTTCTTTTTTTCCCCACTTCGGCGAGTATTTCAAATCACTTGTTTGATCTACTTAGTTGATGCATGAATATAATGAGAGAAAGCTAAATCCAGAAAGAGGTTTGCCCGGCATGACTCAACTCTATTGACAGAGTAAAGTGCTCTAAATGCTTCGTGGCTATCACAGGGATTTATATGATAAGTAGTGGTCTTATTAGATTTGGAATTTCATCTAGCAAGTAGTAATTGTTGATATGGAGAAGGCCAAGAAACACCATTTTCTTAATTTGAACTTTTTAAAATGGCTTGGGGTGGGGGTCTGGGAAGGATGATAAGACTGTAGAATACATTATTCATGCAGAAACTCTCTCTTTCCTATCTAGTTTATTTTACGTTAGGCGAGGCGAGACAGAAACTTGTGATCGAGGCTTAGTTATTTTTGAAGAGGAGAGAGGCAATACTAGAAAGATAAGGTGGAGTGGGTTGCTTGTGCACTCAATTTAGTGCCTAATGGTTAATGCTTGTAGGGATGGCAACACGGTGGGGCAGGTTAAGGTTATGCGGGAAGTATGGGTTTAAACTTATGGGTAGCGGGTGGGTTCAAGCGTGTTTTTTAAAACTTCAATGCCGTTGCGGGTTAGCACTTTTGACCAATTACAAATTAGATAAATTTCTGCAACTACAATCAATCACTTATTGCAGATGTCTGGACTTACAAAATGTTGCCATAAAAATTTTCAAACACTTTTTATGACTCTGCCAAGTTAACACTTTTTATATGTTAATTGAAAACATGAAGAAGGAAGCAATTTTTAGAAGGCAGTACTCAGTCAGGGAGGTGGGGGCAAAACTTAAGAACAGAAGTGAGAAAATATAAATGAAATGAATGCATTACTCTTCATCGAATTTATTCATCCAAGTGTTGAATGGAAGAGCTTGACATTTCTTATGAATTTTTTTGCTTATCGTCAGGTTTTATTATCTTAGTTCCAAACCAATCTTTAAGATGTAATAACAGTTCATTTGTTCACATTCTTGAGTAATAAACATAACAAGTGACAAATATTTTGAACTATCCCATGCTTAGAATTAAGTGGCTATGTGGCAGGGCAGGTTTATGTGGGTTGGGGCGGGTAGGGGCTGGGACAGGTTTGAAATAGAAAGTTTTCTATGCGGAGTGGTGCGGCATGGGTTGAAGTCTTTCGGGTGAAGGTTGAACCTGCACGGCAACCTCTCTGCCTTTCCCCGTTGCTATCTCTACTTAATGATTATCCTTGTGGCCTAATGCAGTTTTGAAAGAGCATTTCAGTGTTGCAACCGAATAGAATGTCTCAGTAGATGCAGCTTTGAATCTAAAAGCCCAACTAAATTTCCGAATTTCAGTTTAATCTGTTGTAAAAAGCTAATTTTTGAAGCATGTTGCACCTATAGTAGCTTTTATATTGTATCATAGTGATTGCAAGTATATTAGGTTTTTAAGTTCTGCTGGTTGTAGGGTGTGTTTGGTCTGTTTACAATTTCTAGCATTTCCTTGCTCGTCTTAATGTGGTTCAGTTTTGATGTTAAAACTCTTCAAATTTTCTTTGGTTGTAGGCGACATTACTTAGAGTGTCCGCATGGATTGTTGGGAAAGCATATTGAAAAGCTTGTGCAATGTGATCCTCGTCTTAATTTTCTGAGTCAACAAGCAGAGATGACTCTAGATTCTCCTTATTTTGAATCCCAGATGTCGGGTTTTGAAGACACACATGAAAGGGACCGTGAATTTGATCTGAATAATGAGGGGAGTCCGAATTTTATTGACTATACTTCACCTTCTGGAGCTCAGTGTTCCTCCAAAAATAAGCAAGATCCTAGACCTTTGGAATGTATTCACCAAGAAAAGCCATCCCCAAGATCAGGTAATTATGTTTTTTTATCTGAGAAGTGCATTTAAGTTTTCTTGAATTGAGTTCTATGGTGAGTATGTCTTTGAAGATGTCGATGATCATCCCTTATCCCCCACCTTTTTGAAAAAGTGACAAATTGATCGTCATTTCCTTTTCAAAGAGTGGAGAGGAAGTTTGCTACCCGTTTCCTTGATTTTATTGTAGTCATGTCTTGGTGGTACAGTTGTGTGTTTCTTGAACATAATCCACATTGAGGGGGTTGTCTCTGTTCAAAAAGAGGAATATGACCATATTGCAGAATCGGGTTATGGACATGTTATCCTATGTTGAAGTATATTGTTCTCAACCATTCTATGGCCTATTCTAAGTGATCAAGATTTGCTTCTATATTGCTATCTGGATGTATATTGTTCTCGTTAGTGTGCTGTTTCTCTTGGATTTCTTTTTTATTTTTCTGTAACTTCACATTCAACGTGCTGTTATTGATACAGGGGCGAGTGAAGATATGGAAAGTAGGGAAGTGGAGCAGCGGAAAGGGCTCAGTAACCTCAATCAACTCAGAGTGTCTGGAGTACATCCCTCTGTATCAATGAGTGATTTAGTGAGCCAGCTTGAGCAACGTGTATCAGAGCAGACGACATCTAAAGTCATCAACCTCGCCAATGATGAACGACGAAGCTCGGAAATCCTGGAAGAGATCTCCAAATCCTTGCTTAGTGACACTCAAAATGTGTCATCATCAGATGAGAAATCTCTTATGTCAAGGGTCAATTCTCTGTGCTGCCTTCTCCAAAAGGATCCTGCAACAGCTCATGCGAGTGAGAACTGTGGTGATGTTGTGTCGGATGAAAGAAGAGTTAATGAAATAAATTTCATTCCCACCGCACCGCTTGGAAGAGAAGATGTAGAAGATCCTTCTATGCCAGAGGATGAATCAACTGATCTCTCTGGTTGCAAGCCGACTTCAACAATGTCAAGGAAGGACTCTGTCGGTGATCTGTTGCTGAATCTTCCTAGGATAGCATCACTGCCCCACTTTTTGTTCTTATGCGATGATTCTGCAGGTAACCAGGCTAGATAGTCTTAGCTCAAGTCTACATCAGGTAATCATTGCAAAGGATGGCTGTAGTTCTCTTGTATATATTGAAAAACTAAGTTAGCAACAGTACTGTGTTCAGCTTAGAACTTGAAACTTTGATGCATCGTTATAGAACTGTTCATGGATAGAATTAGACCGTTTTTGTGCTTTTGTACAAAACTTAGTGCTGTGAAAGTTTTCCAATGCTTTCCTGTTTGTCACTACTGCATTATTTTGCCAAGTATAAAGTTACAGTGAACATGATATTCAGATTTTGCCCAGTGAACGCAGGATAAAACATGAGAATTAGACAACACAGGACAAGATTTTAACGTGCATGACAAAAAAACCGAAATACTGGAACGGTTTTGAGATTCCCTGTAGTTTATTCGGGGATTAGTTGTTCTGGGCATTGTAGTGTTAATTTTTATCTCTCATTGTGGATGAATTACCAATTTTGGGATAACTTGTTCTCCGACCAAAATGAGTCCTTGATGTATATTCCAAGTGTCCTAACAAAAATAAAATAAAATCCAACAACCCACTAGATTATAGTGACTGACATTGCAGGTTGACCATGGGATGTCGAATCGAGTCAAGATTGTACTGTTACACAAGTGGAATCAGTCAACTTATCAGACCCAGTATGAACTTAATATTCGTAGTCAATGTCAACCACTTTAGGCATTTCAGTATGATTTTTTTGTATTCCTCGGGTATCTATATTGGAGTTCGACAAATTCGGGTTCTTCCCGTGTGGGGCCCCATTTGAGGGAAAATACTCCCTACCAAGGATTAAGGCTGGGCATCAGATCGGAACGGGACGGGTTGATCGGTACCGGGTTGAACCGGACCAGAATTACCGGGTAGATACTAGGTTCCGTCCCGTCCCACTATATATCGGGATAGAACCGGACCGGACCGGAATGGAACGGGATGGGATAAACGGGACGACACATATAGCTATTTCAAATAATAATAATTTTTTTTAGTTGTTTTGATTTTTTGAATTACGAAAATATGGATGTTTGCTTATTTTTCTAAGTTTAAATTAATTGTTTTGAAATTTAAGTTTTGAAATTTATAATGTAATTTTACTTAAGTTTATTTTAAAGATATTTTTTTTAATTTTTACTTATTAAATTTGCAAGTTTATGTTTAATAAAGTTTTTTTGTTTTAAAGTTTTTAAGGTTAAATTTTCAAGATTTGAAATTTTGAATCTTTTGAAGTTTATAAGTTATTAATTATTAATATGTTATAAGTTATACTTATAACTTGTAATTTAAATAACTTAAGTTTGTAATTTTAAAAAATTAAATAAAATTAAGGATAAAACAATGACACAAATTAAAAAAATATCAATCCAATCCAATTCAATTTTATTTTTTTTGAAAATATGCCTATATATAAATTAATTAATAAAAAATAATTAACCGGAACCGGAATAAACCGGGATAAATCGGTACCGGTACACCGGTATCAAATCGTGATACCGTTCCATTCCGAGTACCGGTTCACGGTGTCCCATTCCGTCTCGAAGACTACCGGACCGGAACGGACTGAAATGGTACCAGAACAGTACCGGTACAACCCGATCCGGTGCCCAGCCTTACCAAGGATTTTTTAATATTCAAAGCTTGAATCGAAAACCTATAGTTAAGGGAGAAGCAGACCCATCCATTGTACCACAGTCTATATTTTACTTTAAAGGTTTTTATGATTAAATCATTCTGAGTTGTAGACTCAATGGACATGAAAGTGCCTATGTGAATGTGAATTATAATGGTTGTGGGGGGTGGGGGGTGGGGGTTTACTTTTCAAAGCAGTATGTATATATTGACAAAGCAGCAAAGTAGCAATACCTAGTCAGAATATTTTTAAACGTCCAACCATGAAAAATCAAAGGGATTGGAGAACGTTTCTTTATCAATTATCTGACCGAAAGAATATCCATGGAACCATAAACTAAAGGAAACAAATTTGATCATGAAAGGAAAATTATAAGTGCCAACCTATTGCCAAAAAAAAAGAGGCACCGATTGGCCTTAAAATGGATTGATCTTTAATTTTTTCCCTTGAGCAACTGAACTTATGCCTCGTAGAGCATATGTTCTTTAAAAACCAAACTACTCTATCCGTCAAGTTTTGAATAGATTGCACATTTAATGAAGAAAAATCGAGGTAACTTAGCAAAAAAATACTACTACATATTTATGATTTCTTAAGTGAAAATACGACAACTAAATTAGGACAAAAGGAGTAATTAAAGACATTCATGTATTAGAGTGTCAAAGGGAAATTAAATCATAGTGAAATATATTACAGTGTGTCATTTTTGTAGTAATATATTTTACTTGATCAAGCACGTACAAATTAATTAAATAAAATTACATTAGCATTACTCATGTAACAACTAGCTAGCATAATTAATCTTAACATGCATGTATGCTCCATCTTCAAAATCGAACCAATTAGTTGTAACGGCACCCGCGACTTGAAAGAGTAGCCCCGGTTTTCAAGATGAAAACAAATGGCCAGTGGATGGGGCTGGCCGTGGAAGTGGTGGAGGGGACTTTGGCCTTCTTCCTAAACTATTTCCTTTGTTGGGAGCCAATTTATTATTAGCCCAATGAGGAGAGACCTCTGAGATTTGCTTGGAATTTGGTGATGGTTTAGGTGGTGGTGGAGATGAAATTGATGGCCTTTCAATTATTTTCTCTGTCATGAGGGTTTGTGTAATGATTGTATGATCATCATGACTTGCTAAAATTCTAGCTTCACTTCTTTGTTGGGAACAAAGGAATGTTGCCATGAGAATGAATGTACAAGTAATGATTATTTGCATGTTTCTCAATTTTAGTAATAACACACTAGCTACTATATTGGTGTTAAGTACTAGAGCAGTACAAAGGGGTATTTATAGATGTTGTTTTGAAGGAGTAGGTATATCGCTTAAAAGAGCGGTCTTAGGAGAATCATGAGGTTTCAGATTCAAATCTGACGAAAATAAAAATACTGAATGATTTTTTAAAAATCTCATATGTATTTGAGTTGTGATGGACAGGTAACTCCAATACTTGTATCAGTAAAAGGTAGTCAAGTATTTCGTAGAATTAATCGAGATGTGCATCAGTGCATATAAACTCGAACAATTATGATTATTTAAAAAAAACAAAGAGTAGGTGTGTAGTGTGAAATGATTAAACTTCATTCAGACCATTTCTTAAATTAAAACATTGACTTGGCCATGCTCAAAAAAGGAGGTAAGGAGTCAAAGTCTTGTATTTTTCTTTGCTACTTGTTTCGATCCTTGTCTCATTTGAATATTTATAAATCTTTTTGCTACTAGTTGTAATATAAATATCCACAATTTTCAACACGTACTCACCTAAATTATAATGCAAACAGTACCTACTGTGATTACACACATGATGGAGATGATGTGTTTAAGGCCTACAATAATTGAGGACAACTCATATCGAATTAAAGCTATATATTAAAGATAAAAAAAATTCTCATCTTTAATCTATTAGTTCACTTTAATTTTGTTTTTAAGTGTTGAAACGAAATAAGAACATGACTAAATTTGTTACATATAATATAGATTAAACTATTTTCGTAAAGCTAACTAAAGTTTATTTATATATCAAATATCAAAAGTATCACTTTTTCTAATAGTGCCCATATGTTGTGCTTTGCTAGAATAAATAGCGGCCGAATGTGTGGTCTTTAAATTTTGTTTTTCACTGAATTGCCTGTTGAGCACATCCAATTATTTACTTAAATAATTGTATGAAAAAAAATTACTCTAGTCCACTATTGACTTGACACAGTGATTTAGAAGCAGTAATGATAGGAATAGTTTTACCAAATCAAGGATGTATAATATAAGTTATCTAAACGTTGAAAATTAAATAATATTTAATAGCAAGGATAAAATAAAAATAAAAAAATAAATTATTCATTGATTTTATAAACTGGACAAGTATTGATTGGAGTCATTGGACATTCCAAAATAATATAATAGACAAGTAAAGATGGACAAGCGGAGTAACTTTGATTCATTCATTACTTTTATCCTATATTAAGTGATTTATAAATAAGCCATAAATATTTGTGTATTTAGACGGAGGTTGATCTTAGTGACAATTTGTAAGAATAATATATAAAATTTAATATTAAATTAATTTTAAATATAGAGTAGTACTCACTCTTCCAAATTTATGTGATGAGAAGTCAAAGGAATTTCTCTTTGACCAGAATTTGTTCATGTGCCACTTAATATTTTGAATTATTCTGACTTGCATACTTCTATATACTTTCTAAATATGCAAAATTTACTTTTAAAAACTTGAATGTTTTATGTTCAAATTCACAATAAAACTTAGATAGTGTAATCTCTGTACTTCTAATCATCTAAGTAGAATATATTAAAATTTAACGGAATTGATTGATCTGTAATGTTAAGTAGAATATTATAAATTTTATTTAAATTGAACATCAATGAGAGGATCTAATGCAGCAAAAAACACATTTTTAATTAGTACGTTAGGACTTAGGAGTAAGCTCGCTATTTCCTTAAGCTGCAATTATAAATATGAGTAACATTTTATATAAATGTAACTTAACTACTTAATTAAGTCTTTGACTCTAAATATTAATGCAATTACTACTAATCCGTTTAAAAAGGAATGCCAGCTTCTTATAATTGGAAACAATTTAATTTTAATACTCTCATTTATCCGTAATGAAAATGATTAGTAGTCGGACTATAAATGGTCTACAGAATACCGTTTTAAACCACATATTTTAATAGTCTTCTTTCTTTTTTAAAGTTTATATCAAATCGAATAGTATCGTGCACATAGAGTTGAGACAAAGGGAGTATATTATTAAATATTGCTCAAATATTTACAAGTCGTGAATAAATATCGATCTCAGCAGAAAAAAATATACATTCTTGTTTGATAACAATACTGCATTATTTTATAATTATAATAAGTTAAAACCATATATCACTCCCTCAAATTCATTTACTAACTACGTAGTTACTCCATTACAAGACGTCTATTACACATACTATTCTTGAGACTGGAGAGCTAGGTAACTCATCAAGTGAACTAAAACCAGATTACATATATATTCTAGCTACTTTTATAACATAAAATAAAATAAAATACTACACTTATATTATAAAGTCCCCATAACATAGCTTAATGTTGAAGTGTATGACTATCTCATTTAAAAGCTTAACTTCAACATGGTATCAGAACAGGGGTTGAGGTCCACTTCAACACTTAATAGGAAGCATGAAGAGGCAAAGTAGAAGAAGAGGATGTGATAATCATCTGCCTTTGCTCATCTTGTGGCTCTGGTGGTGGTGGTGCCGCTACATGATCGTGCCTCCCACCAACTGTAATCATGAGCGGCGCGGCGGCGGCGTCATGATGAGGACTAGTACTAATTGTTGTGAGTTGGCCAATAATTGGTTCATGCTTGGGAGAAGGAGGTGGTAATACATGATCATGTCTTCCATTAACTATTTCCTGATTTGTTGGTGGAGATGATGTTGGTGGTGTAGGTGTTATATATGGTGTCCTTCCATAATTACCACTTTCCAACTTCAACTTCACCATCCCATGATGATTTCCTAAACCAAGTAAACAAAAATTTATTAACTTCTCAAGTTAATTAGAGTACTCAATAATATATATAGAGAGAAGGGAAGCCTTGGAGCAACGCTGAGGTTAGATATACATGTTCAAACTGTGGAAGCAATTATTATTCCCCTCAAGTAGATGTAGATATGTATGAGAAAAGAAGTGTTTCAAAAAATAAAAGAGTGCCATATTAATCTTCTTAATTACTAGTACAACATTATAAATTTATATTACTTTCTCCATGCAGCCCACCATAACATTAATTTTCAAGTGGATTAACTAAAAAGAATTAATGAATACTTATGTTGTAAATATATGTAGGTAGCTAACTAAAGAATAATTAAATTAAATTAGTAGTACCTAGTAAAGTTCTTGCTTGAGCTCCTACGAAAATGAAAAAGCTGATAATTATAAGAAAGAAGAAAGCTCTGAAGAAGAGAATCATTTTAGCTACTGATCTTAATTCCTTATTTGTTCCCTCTCTTTCATGTCTCCTTTTATAGACAAAAAACAAAAGAAAAAAAAGTTAAAGTGAGTAGTGCATTACCACCAAATTAACCTTCTTTATTAGAACTGATGTTAACTTCCAAGTAGAATAATATATTAGTAAACAATTAATAATTAGTCTATAACAGGATCTAATGCTGCAAATTAAAAACACAGTTTTTTATTGTTCCTATTGCGTTGGTATAATTAATAGGAGTAAAATATGAGTCTGTAAATATTAAGTTAGGATTAGTCGCGAAACTAGGATTTTCACTAGTGAATTTAAAATATAAATAAGTAAACAAAGAGTTTCAATATCTAATACATATATATACATAAAAATAAAAAAAACTACCTATAAAAGTGTAACACATACATCTAATATATATACCATACTTTTATATCTATTATTTCTCTCTATTACCATTTAACCGACTCCACTTTGACTACCACAATATTACTACAATGAAGAAAAACATTTGATCATTTTCCCAAATCCCAATATATATAAATACACATACACATCGAAAAACTGGTGGTGTTAGTGATTAAAGGCATACTTTAACCAATTTTATTAGGAATAAGAGTCTGAAAAATACCTCAATTTTGGTCGGATTTGTTGTTGCGATACTAAACTTTCAATAAGGATCTATTACCTTCCTAGACTATTTAGTACCGTATTTTTTACCCCATGAACTATTTAATAGTGTATTTTAAAAGTATATATGTGCCCATGTGGACACATTACTATTTATAATTTTGCATTATTTTTTATATCTACGTGGCCATATATATATTTAAAATACGGTATTAAATAGTCTAGAGAGGTTAGGTCCTCATGAAAGTTTAGTATCGCAACAACAAATCTGACCAAAGTTGAAATATTTTTCAGATCCTTATCATATTTTATTACGGCAAGCTATATATTTGCATGACAAATACAAATCATTTTGCAAAATTCAAAAGACAAATTTGAACCCAAAAAGTAAAAGCTGTCAGCATCACTAAAAGTTGTAGTCAATTATAATGGTGAGTCTTCCTCACTCGTTTTTGAGTACAAGAAAACTGGCCACAAATAGAGTCAATTACCACGTGAAAAATTACTTCATTATTTACTCTGAATTCACTATTGTTTATTATATTAATTATTAAAACATACGTACAATGTTCTCTCGATTTTCACCCATTGGACCTATGTTAGGTCTAATTCAATCGGCCTACTTCTGATAAAAAAATTAAAGCAAATTTGATAAAGTTTATCATGAATTTATATGAGGAAACAATTTCTAATTGATGCAAAAGAAATTAAAAGTCATATGTTCCACCAAATATATTAGTAAATTTCTCTTACACGCGCTTTAATTTGTGAAATACCTTTAAAATATGTTAGCCGCTCTAATTTTTCAAGTGTCAAAGTACATAATCTAATAACCTAAGAAAAACAATAACTTATAACACTTTTTGTATAATTTTCAAATATCATAATTTAATTTTGATTTGAAAATATCATTGGATTAATCATCTAATCAAATTTAGCTTTGAAAGATTTGTTAAGTTGGCTTTAGAAAAACAAAACATGAGAGAGAGAGAGAGAGAGAGAGAGAGCATAATCGGAGAGAGAAGGTTTCTAAAGTTCTCTCTTATATAATAATACTACCTCCGTCCAATTTTAATTGTCATAATTTTCTTTTTTAGAGTCAAACGATAATAACTTTGACTAATATTTTACGATTTATTTTTTCATCATATTGATATGCAAAAAATGGAATTTATAGTACTTTTCGTATAGTTTTTGAATATCTAAATTTTTTGTTTAAAATATTGAATTAATGTAATCTAATTTAACTTTGAAAATTAGTCAAATTGACTTTCAAAAAACGTAACATGACAATTAAAAGTGGATAGAGGGAGTAATTAACCAAAATTTTCCTTTTTGTCGCACTCATCAATTGAATTTTAATTAATTAGGCGTTGTTGATTTAATTTATTTCTTTTTCCTGATAGATTATGGCATCATATCAAAAGATTATAATTAATGGAAACATGCCACGCTCCACAAATATAGTTGCTTAAAGTAGTAAAGCAAAAGTAGTAGCACTAAAGCTCAAAAAGAGATGTACCAACAAAACATCATATTACATGACATGCAAATATAAAGAATAAGCTAAAAATATATTACTTATAGTTTATGTCAAATCAGATACTATGTTTTAAAAAGCTAAGATAGTAATTAATTAATTTTTGTGGTCATTCGTGGGCAAATGAAATGTTTGCATAGCCATTAAGGAGTAAATAATTATTAACATATCTACTTTAATACTAGATACCAACTCCACTTAGCAACATGAATAGGGAGCTTAATTAGGTAAAATAATTAATTTACTTAAAAATGTATATGGCTGTGGCTTTCTTCTTCCCTACAATGTAGGACATTTGCTAAAGCATATAGCACTTAATTAAGAAATTCCAAATATGGAAGAAAAGCTGCTTCTTGGAATTAATTCCCATTTTGCGTTTGTGGTCCTTAATTCCGCACTATCCAACTATATATATA